ACGAAGACGAGGGAACCCGGCCTCGGCTCCAGCCCTCTGCGGGCTGGGTCGCCGGTTCTGAATTCTCTCTTCGCCCCCAGGACACCCTGGTGGGGGAGGAGGGGCCGAGGCCCGGAGCGGCCCGGTGACTCGCCCAAGCCTCACTCCGCGGGTGGTGGAGATGCCCTCGAACCCTGACTCTCAGTTCGAGGCGTTCCCCCGTCCCCCGCTCCGAGATCTCCTTCTGCTTAGTGCTGAGGGTCTGCACCTGTCGGTCCGTTTCCTCTTTTCACCTAGCGTTGTATTTTATGAGGGTCGTTGTGGGTGCAAATCCCACCCACCTTCGCCACTACTCGCCGTGAATCCTCTGTGTCTCTGTACAGAATAAAGATCTGCAGGCCGGGAATGATAATATCCACCCCTTTCTTCAGCACTTATTTGGAGCCTGCCCCCATCCCATCGCATTTTGCAGACTGTTGTATTGTTGTTGTTTTAGAGACAGGGTCTCACCCTTTTGCCCAGGCTGGAGTGCAGTGATGTGATCATAGCTCACTGCGGCTTCAACCTCCTAGGCTCAAGGGATCCTCCTGCCTCAGCCTCCGAAGGAGCTGGGACTTCGGGTGTGAGCCCCTGTGCCTGGCCAAGTTTTGCAAATTATTGCATTTACTATTTAGGACAACCCTAATAAAGTAGGACTTCATAAGGTTATTGTAAAGATCTCATACTATTGCCCGGCACATACTAAGAGCTCCATCAGTGTTGACGGTCATGTAAACCTTTCTGTGTTGCATGTGAGCCAAAGGATTCTCTTGTGGGTGTTACCATTCCCTGGTAGCCATTCCCTGTTATTGGCACAGACTTATCCAGTGCTGGAAGAGCCTGGACTCTGGAGTTAAGCGCTTGGTTCCAACCTTGACTCTGACATTCAGCAACGTTGGGCAAGTCACTTGACCTCTCTGTGCCTCTGTTTTAATGATGTGCTGGAGTTGCTCATACTGACTTGCAAGGACCAATTGTTAAAAATACAGGAAATTTGGGAACTGTTTGCTAAACCATTAGCTATGGTGGGATATTTACAGCATAGAGATCAGCAAATGCTAAACATCAAGGCTTCTTTTCTACCCCTGGGGACAGCCGATGGACCCCCTGCCTCTACGTCAGTTTCCTCATCTCTAAAGTAGGTTTCATAGAGTTGTGGGATTAAATACGCTAAAACACATGAAGACCCTAGTACAGTGCCTGGCATATAATAAATGTGTACTACACATTACTAATTATTTTTGTCTTTTCTCCCTTGTCCTATGTAAATAGAGCTGCTGGGAATGTCCCCATTACAGGTTACTCATTGCTTTGGATCATTTTGGGGTTGAAGACTTACAAGTAGAATCAGAGTCATGGGAGATACATGGATTTGGGGTGCTTTTGCATGGGGTCAGGGTTGCACCCAAAAAGACTGAAGGCACTTTTAGGGAACAAATTGTTTCAGGGCAACACATTTTAAGCTTGGTGAAATGTGCTGAACATCAGGCATTGGTATCGAATGCTGGACTCTGATTTCCTTGGGAATTGTAGGGTTAAAGTCTGCCCTCCAGTGGGAAAGGATGTGGGCCCTTACCTGTTTCCTGTCACCCAGTGCGGGGGGGAAAAGACAGTGCTGAGTGAGGAAGGGGCATTCAGGCCCCTTAAAAAAATTTTTTTTTGTAATTTTGAATGATTTTTCTGAAAGAGGCTCCCCAAATGGTTTAGCCTTCAGGATCATAAAAGCTGGATCTGCCCCTGCAGGACCCCTGATTCTGACCTGGCTGCCATCCTACCTCCTTGAGGACCTTCTGCCTCAGACCTTTTCCACTTTTCAGCAGAATCTTACTGGGGACAATGTCTTTAAGCTGAGGGTTTTGTGTTCCTAACCCTTCTTCCCAAGTCCAAAGTGGGATTCCCTTATTCCCTTTTTCGAGGTTTCCCAAAGTGTGTTCTACCAATCACGTGGGAGTGAAGAGGGACTTGATAAAGTGCCACTTCCCAGGCCTTGCCCCGGCCTCACAGATTCAACCTTGGGGACTGGAGGTGGAGAGGGAGAGTAGGCTGCATCTTCAACAAGCACCGTAGGTGACCCTTACACTATTGACATGGGAGGGACTCTCAAAGGGTTCTGTCCGCTCACCTTGCCCCCCACAACTGTTGCACTGTTGACAACTAGGATGTACCCACCCAAGAAGCAAGGCCGAGGCCACCTCCCCCCCTGCAGCTGGCCTGAAGGGTGACCTTTCAGGGGGATTCCCACCCCACCAGGCAGACCTTGGCCTTCTCCCCGGGTCAGTTATACATGCTCCTATTAAACCCTTGGGAACGGTTTTAAATTTATTGCTGGGCTTAAGTTTTATTTAAAGATGACAGTCTACATAGCAAGTTAATGTCTTTGTTTTAACAACCCAGCAGCAGGGCAGTCTTGGCACCTGGGAGAACTTTCTCTGCGGAACATCACTGGCCCTGGCCTGCAGGTTCAGGGGGAGAGGGGCCAGACGGGGCAAGGGGCATTGTTTTGTCCAGGTCAGTCCATGAGCCAGCTGTGTCTGTAGAACCCGCTCTGGTGGTCACTAAGAGTAGCCTGCAGACTGGTGGCATGGGGTGTTCATGGCACTTTATTTGCCTTTACTGACTCGTATTTGATCTCCTGTCTCCTCTCCTCGCTGTTAGAAAATTGAAAACCTAGGCAGATGCCAACTTGACCATTTCCTAGGGCTTCCTGGGTGAACTGCGTCTCTTCCCTCCTGGGGTTGAGTGAGTCCCTTGGCCCCAAGGCAGGGCTCTGGGAACTTGCTATTTACATTGTACTAAATTTACTCTCACGAGTGTCTTCTGCTTCCCCTTGATAGCTCCCTGCTGCGCCAGCCTGAGGGTGGCAGTGGGAGCAGAGGGAGCCAGGGCGGGCAGCAGCAGCAGCCCCTTGATAAGAGCTGTCAGGAGGTGTCTGCTGGAGTGACACAGTCCCCTGCAGACTTCTGGGGACAAATTTCCCTGCCAGGCCAGTTCCTATCTATCAAGGGCCCTGCTAAGTCTTGCTGTCCTGCTGTCTCGGTGCCCACATACCACTGATGGGGCCTGCCCTCTTTCCCAGTCCCATTCTGGCCCTCTGCCCACTCTGCCTCTGGGGTTGGGGGTCTGGCCATTCCTACCTCTATGCCTGTACGCCCTCAGAGTGTGCTCCTTCCTGCCCCAAAGCCTGGGTCTTTCTGCTCCAATCAGGGCTGCCCTTCCAGGCCTCACTGCCTCTCCACCTGATGGCGCAGCCTGTCCAAAGCAGGAGGGAATAATTTCGTTTCTTGCTGGAGAGCTGCAGAGGCCACTAAGGGGCAGGGGCTTGTATCTATTTCAGAAGGGATAGACAAGAGAACTTGCGTCTCAGACCCAAGTCTGGGACTACCTACACACAACAGCCGTTTAGTCACTGCTAAAACATATTTCAAGCGTAAATATGGAGTGGACAACTTCTTCCCTTCCTCTCCCCCTCTTCCCCTTCTCTCTCTCTCCCCCTCTCCCCCTCTCTCC